CCCCAAAACCCCAAAACCCCAAAACCCCATCAGGTAATTATTGTATGACATAAGAATGAGTAGAATAAATATTTATATCAGATCAAAATCTTACTGTTAACGTTGTTCTTTAATTAAAACTAATATTATATGATCTCATAGGCGCTCACAATAATAAAAATTATAAAGAAGTTTAAATATTTCTCAAAATGGTTTTAAAACCCTTTCAGCTGTTAGTTGCTTGTGTTATTACTATCTTACTGAAACAGCAATTGGTCTGCTAATAATCAACTGGTTTCACTACTTATGATGGAATCACCTAAGATTAACTACCATCTTACTACACAACAGCAGGGATCAATGGCATCAAAGCTCTACTAAACAATCGCAATGCAAATAATCTGGGTCTCAATTATTTCATTAGAATGTGGATAAGACCTAATAACAACTTTAATTCTAGCTCAGACAAGACCCCCGAGGTGCTTCTCGATATAGACAAATCCTTAAGATGCCAGCTTCAATATTAGAACACAATAGCCTGCTTCAAATCAGGGTCAACTAGCTAAGATGACTTCATTTACTTGACTAGAATGAACTACACCTCTCGAATGTGGTTGCATGTCGCTATTGCTGGCTCGTGAGCACTTAACAGAGGATTCATTCGTTCAGATTATCAAGATCAAATGATAAAAGTATAAAATACCACATATCTAGCACTGACACAGAATTCTACACCTTGGTATGCATTTATTGGTGTCTCTACTTCACTGAGTTAGGGGTTTTAGGGCGATATCAGAGAATTTCTAATCACAGAAGAATTCATATACCCAAATCAGGTGCCATTCATTAAGAATCAGCTTATCACTCAGAACTTGACACACATCGGATATTATAGGCTGCAAGGAGGGTCACTGCAAGATTTTACAAGGCCAACAAACTTTGCTACATTGGTGAGCTTGACTTCAACAGTACTTCCAACTTGGAGCTATGAGAATGCACCAAACGACATATGCTATGCTTAGTTTGGAGGTGTGGCTTAATTACCATCCCTTGATAATCAGTAAACTTCATATACTTCCATTGACAGTCGCATGAAAACTACCCTCCTCTAGTTCTAGTATTCAACTTCAATTTGGATGAGAATCAGATAAAATCAAACTACAAGTACCTCATTCAGTACAAGCACATTTATTACATAGCTAAGAGGTGTTTTTAGCGTTTGGATGTCAGGAACTAATTTGATGAGAATCAGAGTCCATGCCTCTACAGATTCCAACTCAAAGGACACCAATGCATTTTATGTGCCATACAATGAGTGGTTCAATCTTCAGTTCACTATTGATCAAAAGACAGGTTATGATATTAGAGTTTACAACATTTTCAAAAGATTGATCACCTCTGATAAATAAACAGTCTCTTATAGCGGTCAGACAGTCGCACAATAAATACAGGTTTTCAATAACTTTAGAGGCCAATTAAAGTCTATTATTATATACTAAGCACTAAGAACTCTACCACTTGTTTCGCCTAGTGTACCAAACCAAGCTATTTAGGACGATAATTTGATTGTGTACTACAATTTAGATCAATCTAATTTCAATGGAAATAATTAATTCAAAAGCATAGCTAGGACATTATCAGGAACTTCTGGGGCGAATTTACTTGTCAATACAGTTCCAAACTAAGGTTCTTTAGTTTTCGATACTGTCCCTTTTGATGAAATTTTCAATTACAACGACGTTTAGATATACGGATAACTAAATTAAACTGAATCTTATTACGATGGAATATCTTGCATTAATACCAAATAATCAATAAAACTTGTAGGCAATACCTCTCAGATCTCCATTTAATAGTAAATAACCTCAAACTTGTCTTCAGCAACTATCGAACTTTGGTTTAAAAGACCTATTCGTACCCAAAAGTTGAATTTTCTGGCTTCAATATTTTCACAAACTTAAAATGTGTCTTATTTCTAGCTATATCAGCTTAGTGATCAGAGTAATTTAATCTGCCAAGTATTTCAAAACAGTAGTGCATCTACAATATAAAATGATCTATTGAATTAATCAACTTACTTTCAATGGTAACATATTGCCTGCTTCTATAGAAGCAGAATTGATGTTTTCTCAATTATGCATTCACAAGAAAATCTTGAATAGATAAAATCTGTAGCACTGTTGCCTAATGAGAGTTCGGTAATGCTAAGCGGAAATTATACTATAATTCTAGGTAATAATAGAGAATATAATAAAGGTTCTGAAGATATATCAATGAGAGAATTTAGATTTTGGCAAGTAGCTCGAACTCTAAATCAAATCAGACAGAATCTTTTATCTCAGTTAGATCCATCTATTAATAATGGAATACTATCATACTACAGACTAAATTCAGGTGATATGAACATTTAAAATCTACAAACCATAAGAAGTCAAATTAGTAATAATACAGGGCTTCAATTTTATCAAGAAACTAACCCAATTCTAAGCTGTCCATTAAATACATATCTATCTCCATCAAAATAATGCCAAAGAAATCCATTTACAAATCAATCGCTAAAGTTATTGACTTATTATAATGCTTCCGAAAATTCAATCAAATGGATGATAACGCCAATTTATTCAATGATGCATGATGAATTTACAAATACTTAGAGTTTCATTTATACTTGGTATTCAAACAACAGGTCATTAACTACTTACATCACCAATTAAGTAAGGTTGAATTAGCTTTCAAATTAATTTGTGATAACCTATGCAACTCTATATAATTCTTCTAATACAGACAACACCACTGTAAATAATTTAGTGTAGGTTTTTGTACACACCTAAAATTACATTAGATCATTTGTCTAAGCAACTGCAATCTAATATAGACTTGATTAATGCAGATACTTAGTTGATAAAGGTACTGGCGATCCAATTATAAACAAAACATACTCCTAGCTAAGAGGTTAATCAAATCTTGAGTTTGATTTTTCTGTGAAAAATGTTATAAACTGTTCTACAGATTTAACCTAATCAATATCAAATATTACAATTTTACAAGTTACACCACTTATAGCATTGACATCAACAAATGTTACTTATGATGAAACAGATAAATCCTTTACATTACTAATTTCTAAGGAGGATTAGTTGAAATTCAAGCTCTATCAAATTTATAATTTCATAATTGGAGTCTAAGTTTAGTAGAATGGTTAGATAGTTCAAGAAAGTACATTGAATATCATTTATCGAATCAGATTTGTTGAGAAAATTAACTCAGTTATAATGCCTTCTCGTTTTTATCCTTAGGTTGGAGATAATTTGATATTAAATGGAAGTTTATCAAAATATGAATTAGCTTCACAAACTCCAGTTAATTATACAGGAATCGATTTTAAATGGATTTGTCCTGCCATATTTTAACAATATTGCTAGAATCAAACCACATTTAAAATACTTAACATTAGTGGCTTAGCTTATAATTTATCAGGAGCAGTAGCATATTAGCCATATACATTTATTCTTGAATTATCATCCCAGATCGATCCTTACCAAAACTCAGTTTTTTCATCTAATACAACAATTACTTATGTCCCAGATGAAATTCCTAATTTTTCATTATTTTAGTAAGATAAAGATAAGGTATATGTGCTAGAAGATAATACTTTTAAAATAGATATACTTAATTACAAAGAAAACAGACAGGATTTAACTATTATTTGGGAAATATTACCCATAGTAAACTTTACTTTCATAGAAATTAGTGATGATCGAACTACAATGACAATAAAATAGGGAGGACTGAATGTCACAACATCATATGATATATCTGTAAACATAACTTTCAATGTTAAAGTTAACTCTAAATCTTCAAGAACTCTCTCATTCAAAACTGGATATGGCAATTTAACAAATGGCACTTATAATGTAACACCCCAAGTAGGTTTTGCCCAAAAGACCCTGTTTAATTTTTCACTCACTAACTTTTTTACTGATTATGAGCCGATAACGTACAGAATATATGGAACTCAATTCAAATTCTCAGAAATATTTGAAATCACTCCTTCAGCTTAGCAATACTCTAAGAACTTCTCTACATTACTTCCAGAGCTCTATAGGTTTGAGATAAGAGTGAATGATTCAAAAGGTAATCAAATTACTTAAGGCTAACTTCTACAAGTGGAGGTTGTAGTAGATCCAGGCGATACTGGCCTAGATGAGGATCCAAACCTTGAAACTCAATAATTGATAAATTTATTTAATGATATATAAGCCCAGTCATCTATTATAGAAGGCTTTGATTACACGACTACGCTTGTTAATAGAAATGTTCTTGATTAGAAGCTAAAATTTATTGGACAAATTTATGAAATCACCAATGGATTTGTAGAGGGTTATTAAAATTAAGATAACTTGAAGAACCGTATATACGTTCAGAGAACGATGAATGTTCTTAAGATGCTTACAAACAATACTATCTAAATGAATAACACTATAGCAACAATGGCTTTTGATATTTTGATAGATCTTTAATTAAAAGACTCTTCTTTGAGGAATTCATTTTCAAAGTCAGATTTCTCGTCTGACTATTTGCATGTTATTAGCTCACTCGACAAATATACTTTGGAAAAATTATAGTTCATTATAATGGGGAGATTGAGACGTTCTCTTTTTTATAACACTATGAGTTTCTAGGACTATCTAGATTTTGATAATGTAGTCACTCAAGAGAAGTAAAAGTTTGAGAACTTTTATTGTGATAAAATTAGCTAGTATGAGCGCTAGTATCAGATTCCCAGTTTTTCTTACAATTTAATGATAGATAAGTTTTAGAGCGATTCAACTGTCCAGAGCAGATCCTATAATTCTTCTAGTGAGGATATAATGATGTAAATATAGATAGACTAAGTGATTTAAAGCATGAAGGATAATAATTAGAACTGGGTCAATCAATTCTGCTTGATAGGCAATTCAGTCAGATTGAGTCCCTTTTTGAATAGAGTGATTGGAAACTAAACTATTAATTCTGAAAGCTTTGGCTATATTACTATTTTAGATAATCTTGGACTCAGAACTCTAGAGACAATTAATATTAGCTAAAGTTAAAATGCTGCTAGTTCTAGCATTCTACAGTTGAGTTTTCCTTACGACTATCTCTAGAAGAAAAAAGAGTTTAGGAATAATTAGACTGTTTGCATGCAAATAAAAGCAGATAAGTAGATTTATAAAGATGAATTATGGTCGGCCGAAACTTGCCAAACTTAATACCAAGTATTAGAGAAGCTTATAGTATGTAAATGCAGCAGCATAATGAATAGTTATTATGGAATAGTCACTGATTTTTCAAGAAAATTAGTTGTTGATGAGGTAGATCAGATCATTTTTAGTGGTAGTAAAACTGTAAATGAATTCTCTTTGTGGATGATCATTATGCTAGCATTCTTGGGCATATTTCTATTCATTTTTCCTCTTTTGTTGCTCTGCCTAGATAAGATAGATTATAGAAGAGTAACAAATTTTTACTATAATCTGGAAAGTAACTTAATTAAGAAAGTGGCTAAAAGGAGGTATAAGCCTATTGAAATAGTCACTTACCGGTAATAGCAGTTCAAAAAGTACACTTATTTAAAAGATCTTGGATGTGGAACTTTGTTTGGCTTATTCTATACAGATATACACCCATTATTTTGGCTCTTTTCCAGATTTGACATAATCTATAAAAGAGTTATCAGATTGACACTTTGCTGCTTGCAAGTCTTCACAGTGGCAATAATTCCTTTAGTAGTTTTTAAATATGCTTATGAATCTGATTAGTTCCCTGATGATATTGATAGCTAGGATACACTCTTGCCTGCAATATATCTTGGTCTAGTAACTAGCTTGCTATTACTTCCAATACCTAGAGTATTCTATTATTGTATGAGAACAAGATTTGAAGTAGATCATAAATCTAGGAACAGTTCTGCGAGAAATTAGTCAAACAGACCACTAAATTAAACTTAAAATGGTTTGACTGAGAATGTGGAGGACTTGAATAATGGGCCAGTTACTATAGAAAATTATGGAGGCTCAGACATTGCCAATCCAACAATACATGATGATAATCTAATATCTTAAAAGAATAGGAATGATAAGTTTAGCAGTACCTAAAAGATTAAAAAATTGGATTTACAAAATTTGCAACGTCCTTCTGGACAAAGATTGATGTATACGACAGGTGATGATAAAAAATTATCAAAGACCCCAAGATCAGTTTTCACTAGCAACTAAATGGAATTTGATAGAGTTGATGCAGTAATGAAGCCCAATAATGGTTAACATATGATTTCAAAGAATAATCTTAAAAGAGCTAATGGAAGAATATCAGAAAGAAATGAGAGATATTTTGATATTTATCAGTAAGTTGCTATTTCAGATGAAGCTAGCAATTTAAGAGGACTTTTCATTGCCCTGAGTTTTATTTATTGTATTGCAGTGCTTGTAATTCTCATTATGGAATGCTAGAAAATCCCTAAGCAATATTAGTTCTAAATTATGATAAGCTTTGGTACAGCCCTTTTCATAGGTTGGTTCATATTGAATCCAATCAGAATTGCTATAGTGTCTTGCCTGGTATAATCAGTCATTTCTAAAAAATCGAAGGATAAATCAAAATAAAGCTTTGGCTCTAAGTTAACATCTTGCTTGTTTGTGAATAAAGATGCTCAGAGTATGATGAAGGATATTCTCATTATAAAGGCTCATCAAGTGATAAGTCTTGATTTTGATAACGGAAAGAGTACTCAGTATAATGCTAAAGAGATAGATTTGTAATTTGAAAAGAAAGGCATTGATAATGCGCTTGATAACTCTTTTCATATAAAAACTCCTCGAGGCAAAATGCAGCAGCAATCTCCTATTATTGCAGATCCTGCTTCACCTCCCAGCAGAAGATTCAAAGAATAGCCTGAAACAGGAACATAAGCGAATTTCCACCCCTCTACTAGAGATTACTTCACTTAAAGACAGAATGTTCAATATGAGTATGATGAGGAGAGCTAGAGAGATTAATCTAACAGATAACTGTAAAGAGGCTTATCAGGGTCAAGGTTCCTTGACCAACTACCTAGTGTCAGAGATAATATGGAAGATGAGAGTGAGGTCAAGCCATCAGAGGAATCCTCTTAAATGCCTGAAAAGGAAGGCTATTATTCAAGCAATAAGAATAAGACATCCATTCCTGTTTCACTAAAGTCACTTGAAGTTAAGAATCTTGGTGATGTGCGTTAGAACTCTTCAGTGAAACACTCAACTAATAAAAGCAATCATCTGATTGATTAGCTTAGAGAAATAACTGAGGACTCTCACATTATGGATTCAAGCAGCAACCACAATTCTTCCCATTCAGAAATAAGGCTTAATTCTTAGCCACCGTTGCCTACCACTAAACAAAATAGAGATGTCCCAAAAGCTAACATGAATGAGATAAAAAGGCAAACTGCACAAAAACTTGACTTTGAAAATGAACCTGAGATATCTATTGAACAGATTAGTAACGAATTCAGTTAGTCAAACATGACCAAGAGTCATATTATGAATGCAGATTTAAGCTAGCAACATTACTTGAATCAGAGACATCTTGATCCATTTGAAAATGATGAGTATAGTCATCGCAATCTAGAATAGGAATATGGCGAGGAATAGCATCATAGTCATTAGGAAATATCAGATGAAGTTTCATTCAACGAGGATCTAGAAAGAGATGAATTTGAAGATTCATGAGATAAAATGGTTTTAATATAAATAGTTATAGCACATATTCCAAAATATATTAAGTATTAGATTGGAATTTGAAAAATATATAATTTGATCATAATTAAATTTGAATTTCTTTGTTTTATATTTTCAGGGGTTTTGGGGTTTTGGGGTTTTGGGG